CTGTATTTCACACAAGCCAGGAAGGCAGTTCTCCAGTGACGGAGCATTCTGCGCAGCAGTCCTGGATTCCATAATGGATTCTTTGCAGTGGGGCGGGAGCAGGGTGGGCCAGAGAGGATGTTAATCATCTCAACACATATTTGACTCAGGCAGTAGCTTTTCCTCAGCAGCCTGGGAGGAATGTGTATCATCTGTTGGAAGCTGTTTTTCTTACAAAAATTCTGACCTTTGTTCCATTCATAGTCGCATAGTCTCAGTCACTGCATGGTGTATGAGGTCTAAAAGGATCCTTTGAAGGACACGCTGGCGAGCATTTATATAGAACCCTTACTGGATATTTTCTTTGTCCAAGGCATTGCAATACCTTCTCGGGGCACAAAGATGAGTGATGACCCCTCCCCCGCAGGAACCATCAGTAGAAGCAGAATGCTCAAACAGTGCTGTCAGCATAATGTGACTGACAGAGTGATGCAGGTGCAGAGATGTGTGGGGATGGGAAGGAAGAGCCATGACTCCAGGGGCTCCCCCGGTGGCTCCAGCAGTAAAGAACCTGCCTGCAACGCAGGAGACCCAAGTTCCATCCCTGAATTGGGAAGATCCCCTAGGGGAAGAAATGGCAACCCACTCCAGTATTCTTGCCTGGAGAATCCCCATGAACAGAGGAGCCTGGTGGGCTACAGTCCATGGGGTCTCAAAGAGTCGGGCACGACTTGAGTGACTGCACACATGAATCCAGTTGGGAGCAGGAAGCTGTCAGGACAGATTCCTGGAAGGAGGTTATGCCTGGCCTGGGCCCCCTTCAGCCGGGAAAGGAAAAGATATGGTGCTCTTGAAGGCAGAAGGCTAGAGGTGTGAAACTGTGGGCCCTGGCAAAAGAGCTGCATTCCAGGTGTGCCCGTAGCACACACAGAATCGGATGGAAAACTTCCATTATTCCCAAGTGACCCATGGTACAGTTTTGGTTTGTTCTGTTTTTTTTGGTCACAATTTTGCTGGGGCATATGGTGGGAATCAGTAGCTCCAAAGCTAGTGAGCAGACCCCACCAGAGTTCACATTTCAGTGAATTGTCACATACACAGTATCACCCACGAGATGATTTTAAAACTGTGTTTTTCATGAAGATAGACCTGAAAAGTGCTGGAGTAGAAAAGACAGTGGAGTCTTAAGTGGTTCTCCCCAGAAAAGGGCTGTTTGAGACAAACCGGACTCGTAGCACCAAGTTCACAGGTGACCAGGATTATTGTCATGAGTATTACTTGTATATCAGTGCTTTTTCAAGCTGTTTGTGAGTGTGATTTTGTGTGCATTAGTACTATCCCTGTTGTACAGTTGACGAAACAAACACAGACGTTGAACAACTTGCCTAGTGTTGCGTGACTAGTAAGTAGCAAAGCCAGTTTTGAATCTGAGCAGTTTATGCCAGAACCCGTGCTTCCCTGCTATAGGAACTGTAGCCAGATTTAATAGTCTTGTTTTTGTGATCTGTGCCTTTTCCTGTTAAGAAAACCCTCTCCTGTTTTCCACTACTGCCTTCTGAAAAGGTTTAAAATGTTCTTTTCATATTGGCAATTTAGTTGTTTTTCTGGAGTGAAGTAGAAATGAAATTTTACTTTGTTAGATGTGGAGAGCCTCGTACACTAGCAAAGACTTTTGGGAAAGCGAACTTTGCAGCTGGTACATTTACAACTCATGGCTAAGTCAGCCCTTCCAGTGCTAAGTATTCAGGCCACCAAGGACTCGGTTCACAGCACTGTCGATACCAGGAGAGCTTTCCCACCCCTGTCCTGTAATTCTGCAGTTCACTGTATCTTTCTCTTTCTTCCTTTTTCTTTCTGCCCCCTCCCTTCTCCCGATTTCTCTTGCTCTTCTTCCTTTTTAATAATAGTACCTGCCAAAATTGGGAAGAGTTACTGGGTAACCCGGGGATTCATGGTTTCAAGTGTAAACTACCCTTGTGCTGAAACTGAGGGTTAGTCTTCTTTGTTGAGGCTGCGGACAGTGGATTCTGTCAGCTGTATTCTCGCAGGCATATTGCTGATGCTAAGGGGGAATCAGGCACGCGAAGGACGCAGTGGGGCTCCAGACAGCCCAGATAGAGAAGTCAGAGTAGAGAGAGTCCGGGTTATCTCTTCAGTTGCTGTGCAGGGAAGTAAGATCACACCTAAACTGTGATCATTTGTGAATAAGTATATTGAACCTTTATGTAGGTTTTTGCAATTGTAGCGATGGAATCAAACCTTGATTCTGAGAGCAAGGTCCTAGGTCCTGTTCTGTCACACGGGGAACAGTATGCAGTATTCTGTGATGAACCACGATGGAAGACAAGGTGTGTCTGTGCGTACAGCTGAGTCACTGCTCCACAGCAGAAATGAGACATCGTTGTGAATTAGATGTAGTTCAAAAAACAAAGCATAAACACGTTTAAAACAGCTCGATTCTAGTCCCAGCGCTCTCTTTTGAGCAGTATGATCCGTGTGTGTCCTCCCAGAGTAACAGTGACACTTGATTTCCACGTCGACATTTCACACACACAGGATGCGTAGAAGTTGATATTCAGATTGATAAGAAAGAGCCTAAGAAAACTAGACCTTGCAGAAGCTTGTGGTCCTCAATCTAGAGGTGTTTCGTATTTGCCTTCCTTGCACTCTGATGGATGGGGAGCTGTCAAGCATAAGCACACAGTCAGGGTCATGTAACTATATGCACGGTAGTTACAGGGTCTGAAATCCTATTCAGCGAGAAAAGCACGCCGTGGGAGCTCTGTGCAGCCTGAGAGAGTGACCCTGAGGCCCTGGGCAAGGTGGGTTTCCAGGAGCCTCTGCTCTAACTCTGGGCAGCTCGATTAGCTGGAACCCTGGCTCGTCTTCCCCTCTGCTGCCTTCCCCCCGGCCCTTCCATGCTGATTCTCAGGCACCTCGAGATGATCAGGGTAGATGGAGAAGGGGCCCAACACGGTTATTGTGCTCGTCCCTGACTCTTGTGCATATTCGTTTCGTTAGTGGAGCATAATGTCATTTTTGTTACTCATTTCAGTTATAGATGATCTTTTGCTTTTATTTCAGCATACAGTAGTTCACATCTGTTCATCTGGAAGGAAAATAATACTGTTTGCTATTCACATCAGTAGTAATATATTGAACCCAGTCGCAAACTGCATGTGTCTTAGAGATTGGCATGGTCCCTGCTCAGACAGCAAACTGAGGAGGTACAGCCAAGATGGGAAAGGGAGGATGAGTCTCTAGACTGACAAGTTAATAGTCAGCATTTCATGAATATTTCAGACTTGGTGTATTATTGTCATTACAAAATTATCGATTTGGCCTTTCAGAATATGAGAATAACCTATATATAGTTCTTGCTACCACCTTGCTTACTGGTAAACAAGATTAGGGATGGGAAAGAATGTGCCCCTCTTTCTCCAGGATGGTGAACTTGTACATTGTTGCTCCTAGTGGGAATTTTTATTGCCCCACAATGGTTATTTCATTATTTCTTACTGTTACTGCTCAATAGAGCAGTGTCTAAAGCCTTTTTGCATGGTTACCATTGTTCAGTCGCTCAGATGTGTCGACTCTTTGTGATTCCACGGACCGGAGCACGCAGGCTTTCCTGTCCCTCACTATCTCTTGGAGCTTGCTCAAACTCATGTCCATTGAGTCAGTGATGCCATCCAACCATCTCATCCTCTTTTTGCCTGGGCCCTGCCCCAGTTCATCACCACAGGCCACATCCAGGCACACCTTCTTGAAGGGCTTTTTTCTCGTGATTTGGAGAAACACAACCTTCTCTTAGCTTGGCCTGGTATCTTTGAAGTATGATAGTTGAAGTTCTCAAATCTGAAAAATTTGTCTTCTTCTTTGGCTCCCTTGAATGGTTGCATGCACACACACCAGAAGATAGTCATTGTATGTGTTTTGGAGTCCCTTGCCTAATAAAAATTTTTGAGTGGACAGAGCGCAAAAAATTTGAGCTTCACAAGGAAGGTCTGAACTTAGTCCCTGACTTGTTTAATTACTTACCTCTTCTGTCTCTGTCCCAGATGGTTCATGTTACCTTGCCCAAGTTTATCACAGCTACTTGTGATTTGGGCTTTTAACTTTCAAGCCCATACCATGTTCATGCTTGCCACTTTCAGCAGGACCTTCCCGTTCTCCCCTTCACATGCCTCCAACTTCCAATTTAATGTCCCTGTTGGAACAGACAGAATGGTTCTGTACCCCTTGATATGGTTTGATTAAAAAGACACTGTAATAACAATTGGATTTTTATATGTAGCCACTTAAGTTAACCTTTCTCACCAGCATTTTCAGATGACTAATCTGAAAGCAAGAATTGGAATACAGTGATGTGTGAATACGGAGGCAGTTTTCTTATGATTAAATTGAAATGCAGGTGTACTATGTTGTACATAGATACAGTTCTGAACACAAGTATGTGTGCTGAGTGTGAATTAATTCATGCTTTAAACTCATTAGAAGAGTTTTATTATATAAAGGAATACTGTAAGAAATCCTCTAGCAGAAGACGAATACCTTTTGCACAGATCCCAGCTTCTGCAAATCTTTTCTCCTGTATTTGTTTTGCTTGAAGCAAAGTGTACTTGTTTGGGGACAGTATCCAAGCGGGCAAGGAGGCTGGTACAGGACAGGAGGAGTTGGGTCAGCACTATGTGCTGAGTGGGCGTCCCCGGTGGCTCAGCGGTAAAGAATCCACCTGCCAGCGCAGGAGGTGTGGGTTCAGTCCCTGGGTGGGTAAGATCCCCTGGAGGAGGAAATGGCAACCTGCTCCAGCATTCTTGCCTGTAGAATCCCATGGACAGAGGAGCCTGGTGGGCTCCAGTCCACGGGGTCGCAAAGAGTCGGATAGGACTGAGTAACTTAAACAATTAGAACACTCTGTGCTGAGTAGGTGAATTTTTTCAGTACACTGGGGCCCATCGATGGTGGAGAGCGAGTCCTCCTGGGCTCCTTCTAACCTCTCCCTCTTGCTTTCACACCAGATCGAGCGGTTGGAAGTAAGCAGCCTCGCCCAGACCTCCAGTGCGGTGGCCTCCAGCACAGATGGCAGCCTTCACACAGACTCGGTGGATGGAACCCCAGACCCTCAGCGCACAAAGGCCGCTATTGCCCACCTGCAACAGAAGATCCTGAAGCTCACAGAACAAATCAAGATTGCACAGACGGCCCGGGACGACAATGTGGCCGAGTACCTGAAGCTGGCCAACAGTGCGGACAAGCAGCAGGCCGCCCGCATCAAGCAGGTCTTTGAGAAGAAGAACCAGAAGTCAGCCCAGACCATCCAGCAGCTGCAGAAGAAGCTCGAGCACTACCACCGGAAGCTCCGGGAGGTGGAGCAGAATGGGATCCCCCGGCAGCCAAAGGACGTCTTCAGGGACATGCACCAGGGGCTGAAGGACGTGGGCGCCAAGGTGACTGGCTTCAGCGAAGGCGTGGTGGACAGCGTCAAGGGCGGGCTATCCAGCTTCTCCCAGGCAACCCACTCAGCCGCCGGGGCCGTGGTCTCCAAGCCCAGGGAGATCGCGTCTCTCATTCGGAATAAGTTTGGCAGCGCCGACAACATCCCCAGCCTGAAGGACTCTTTAGAGGAAGGGCAGGTGGACGAGGCGGGGAAGGCGTTGGGGGCCATTTCCACCTTTCAGTCCAGCCCCAAGTATGGGAGTGAGGAAGACTGTTCCAGCGCCACCTCAGGCTCAGTGGGTGCCAACAGCACTGCCGGCCTCGCCGTAGGAGCGTCCAGCTCCAGAACCAACACCCTGGACATGCAGAGCTCAGGACTCGATGCACTGCTCCACGAGGTCCAGGAGATCCGGGAAACCCAGGCCCGACTCGAGGAATCCTTTGAGACCCTCAAGGAACATTATCAGAGGGACTATTCGCTAATAATGCAGGCCTTACAGGAGGAGCGATATAGGTAAGTGATACAGAATTCAAGTCCTAAATACATGATAGTATCTATGTTAACATGCTCCTCTCTCGATTCATCCCACCCTCTTCCTCTCCTCCCGTGTCCACAAGTCTGTTCTCTGTGTCTTCGGAGATGCAGCTTTAAAAGGTCTGTGTAGAGAGTCTTTCTCTGGAGTGTCCACAGCACTTTAGATACGTTGTGTGATGTTGGCATGAGTTCTCCTCATAGAGAGCAAAAGAGAAGCCAGAAGAGTTAAATGACTCCCAAGATCACAAACCCATCACTGTAGCCCTCCCATCTTCAACTTCCAAACGGAGCCCAGGCTTTCTAAGGCATTCCACCTACTTTCTTACAATCCCAGCATCACAAACCATTGCAGCCCATAGCTCTACTGCATGAAACTGAAAAGATCTATAACCCTCTGAACTCTGTAGAAATCAAAGGTAGAACCCAGCCAAAATGTACTGAACCTTGTAGATATTTGACTTTAAACACACTTATCTGGGCAATTGATATAGAAAGATTGAGACTGGAAATAAATCTAGATATGCCTGTCTGTTACTTCCATGAATTGGCAGCTCTTCGAATGAGAGTGGACTTAAACATGAAACGGTTCTACAGTAGTTAGAAAATTCTCCAAGGGCTGAGTGCTTTGAGTCATAATCTGTGCTCAGGGTAGGAGCTGGTCTCTTCTTTGTGTTTCATATCACACACTGTATTCATGTTAGACCAGTCTTAGCCAGCCTCCACATGTGTGTCTTTTCCTCTGCGTTTCCATCGCATGCATGCGATGCAGTAGAAATAATATCCAGCTGGTGCTGTCAACCAGAGACAGGCCACCTCTCTGAGACAGACGTGAGGGCCAGTATTACAGGAGCCACGCGTCCTGCTAACAGCCACAGGTCAGGCCCTAAAGGCCTGCGTCTGGTCCTGTCCCGCTTCCATCTGGAGTCGCAGTACTTTTACTGTAGTGTCAAGGATTGAACAGTTTCTTAAGGTCCCTTTACCTCTTGGGGAAAGAAAAATAATAAAAGTGATTTTTTTTAAATTTGCTTTTACGAGGTAATTTCAGGGCCTGAGATTAATTGCTCACCTGTTCAGTTAGCTCTGAGAGGAGTTAGAGCAGCAAGCTCCTTGCAGGTGGTAAAAATGTCACTCAGTCTTACCTCTTATCTTCACTCTTATGTCCTTCAATTCTGACTTAAAACTTGAAGGGAGAAGAAAAGAGAAGTGTGGGAGAGAGAAATTAAGTTCTAAAAGCAAGTGAATGACTGTTCTTATGTCATTGTTTTATATATTCTTTAATATACTTAGATGAAGAGGGAAATGGCAGCCTACCCCAGTATTCCTGCCTGGAAAATTCCATGGACAGAGGAACCTGGCGGGCTACATACAGTTGATGAAGTTGCAAAGAGTCTGACATAACTGAGCGCACACACAGAGTATACTCAGAAAACAGTATCTAAAGCAGTGAGCACTCTAACACATACTCAGATTCTAAAAACACCTGATACTTTGTACCACCTTAAGCCTAATTCCCAGGTTCAAATTCTAGTTCTGCCACTTGCTAATCTTGAAAACTGGACAAGATTCTTAACCTCTCTAAGTCTTGATTTCCTCGTCTCTAACATAGAAATAGTAATAGTCCTTTATAGGCTGATTGTGCCATTTAAATGAAATAACTTATGCACAGCACGTGGCTCGGTGCCTGGCTCCGTAGTGCTTGATTGATGTTAGGTAGCAGCTGCTCCTGCTGCTATTAAAATACATTGCCCTGAACATGGAGACCTGGGCGTTCCATGGTCAGTTGCTCAGAAAAACAACTGCCTGCTTTGACCTCTTTATTTTGAAAGGATAGCAAAACATTCCAGTTTTTAAATTCTTCCAGAGCTTAAAATTCATATAGAGTTTGTTATGCCTTCAAGTCTGGTGTAGGCCAGTGTGAGAAAATCAGGGAGTTGAAAAACAAGTCTCCCAAAGCCACCTCTGTGTCCATTTAAAATAATTCACAGACAGGACAGAACTTTTAGCTCCTCATTAGTACCTCATTAAAAGAATCACATCCAAGCCACTTGTGACGTAAGGTGAAGTGTACTTCTTTCACTGCATTTTGGATTCTTGGTAGTAAGTGAATGCCTAGTTTTCTGGAATGAAGAGAGAATAAAGGGAACTTGGGAATTTTCAAAAACTGAAGGGGCAGGAGGAAGACATATCTGTCACATCACTTCAGCTTGAGAGTGGTCTTTTTTTTTAAACGGAATCTTTTTTTTTTTCCCCCCAAGAAAAGCAGTGGAAAAATCAACAACTGTTTTACTCAATTATTTCGATGCACCAGTATTTCCATGTATAGAGCAATAAGGGAATTCTCCTCTATTCCATATGTCTTTACATGGTAAATATATTTATCTAATTTTGTTGGTCTTTGGACTGTTTTACATAAATGAGATTTCCGCCACGGATTGTAGTGTATTCTTTAAGGCACCACAACTTTGTACATTTTAAGCATTTTTGCCGCATTGCTCTCCCTTCTTTTAACAGAGTAGTACATTGAACCTGACATGATTGGAAATAGCTGACAACAGTAGTGTTCTATCTTAGAAGGATATCTCAGCCCAGTGAAGGTAGAAGCGTACATGCTTCTGCAGTCAGTGGTCCTGGGCAGCCTGCTTGTTGCACTTCTGTCAGCTGCCTTTTCAGTTTGTTCTTTCTCCTTTCCACCTTCTCCACACTCTGAGTGAGCTGCCTGCAGCAGCCTCTCTCCATGGATTTCTATTTCTACTCTGTTCCAGGCTTGGAAAGGATAGACTTATGAGACTCTTCTGTGACCAAGAAACCCGTTAATGTCCATGGCTGCTCTCGATGGGTTTCTGCTTATTTTCTCTGCTTTAGTTTGTTTTACTAACATCTGAGTTGACAGGAGGGAGGCCAGGCACAGTGTTAAAGGGGAAGGAAGAGGACTGTACCTCTGGCAGCATTCAGTAAACTCCTCCGATGCCCACTGTGCTAGCTGTTTCCTGCATATTTGCTGATCCTCATGGTGGACCTGTAGGTACACTGTACCCGATTTTGTGTGCTCAGTCGCTCAATCATGTCCGACTCTTTGCAGCCCCGCAGACTATAGCCCTCCAGGTTCCTCTGTGCATGGGATTTTCCAGGCAAGAATACTGGAGTGGGTTGCCATTTCCTTCTCCAAGGGATCTTCCCAACCCAGGGATTAAACCCACACCTCCTGCATTGGCAGGTGGGTTCTTTACCTCTGAGCCACCTGGGAAACCCTAAACCCAAGTTTACAGATGAGGAAATTGAAACCCAGTGAAGTTTTAAATTTTGCCAAAGATTATTCTGTAAATGGTAAAGCCAGGAATCACACCCAGTTTAATGTGACTCCAGAGCCTGGGATCTCTTCATCCCAGGACAAGTGTTTTCCCAAAGTCAACCCTGAAATCTGTCTGATTGACAGACTAACCTAGAGTCTAGCTCTAAGAAGCATAAACTTTAGGGCCTTTTTGAAGACCCAGTGTCTGTTTCTGTAAAAGTTCTCCCTATTTTTAACATATTCTATAAAATTCTGTGAATGCACAAGCTCTGGAAAGTTTTCTCAAGCTTGTACAACACTTTAGGTGAATAATAAGGGACCCCTACTTAAGTAAACCTCCATTACCCCATCCCGATTTCCCCCTTTTCAGAGTCCATTCTCAACACCATCGGTCAGTTCACTGGTGAGTGCTTCCCATAGGTCTTACCCCAGTGAATTGCACCAGGGAAAAGAGTTTTGCCCAAGATCATCTTCTTTGGAATCATCAGAATTACTCAGAAACCTCTCTTCACCCACATGATTGTGCCACGAGCGGAGAGTTTGTCTTCAGCGCCCACACACACTTAGCCCAGGCAGTCTGTGTCGCACGCAGAGCTTGGATCTGAACTCTGCCTCAACCTTGGGCCCCTAACTAGGTGTTTAGTCTTTGCTCTTTGCTTTGGACTCTCAGATTATGAGTGGGATTGTATGCCTGAGAAGGCAGGAAACAAGATATATAGCCTTTTTTTTTTTTTTTAAAGTGATGGGATCTGTGCTGACATCAGATTCTCTTTGTCCATCTAATCTCTTCATCCCATTAGAGTATTATTACAGATTGGTTCAGTGGCAACTGGGTTCACTTTACTTCAGAGATAGAGGGGTCCCTTAGATATCTAGTGTAACCTCATTCCACAGATGAGTCCCCTGAGACCCAGAAAGATAAAGTGACTTCTGCCAGGTCACACAGTAAAATGGTTTAACATATATTTAATTCGCTGCTAAAAGCTGGAGGTTTAGCCCTGTTCCCAAATTGAGTGTACCATGTTGAGCTACTGTAGGAAGAAGTTTCGCTGTGGCAGAGTGCATTGAAACCAGGAGACAGCTAGGAAAACAGTCCATCAGTAATCTTACAGGTTTGTTTTGTCGTTTTTCCCATAGGGAATCTGACCCAGAATTTTGCTCAGCTACTGCCTGCATGAAGGCAGGCAAAAAACCCTCCTGGTGTTGATGAGCAATAATGCCATTTGAAAGCTTCTATTTTAAGGGGATTGCTGTTCTTTGGAAATCGGCTTCTGAGACTGTTTGTATTAAGCCCAGGGGTATTTTAAGTCGCACTGAGTCATTAGAGCAGAAGCACAGAAGGAGCCCGTCCCCACGAGCAGCTGTCACACGCTGCGGAGCAGTTGGCAGTGAGGCCCAGCCGGCTAGGCGCCGGCCACTGGACTCCTAACCAGAGAGGCTGTTGTTAAGTGTGAATTCATTTTACTATCACTGGGCATAAGACAGAGATACGGTCAGATACAGCTGTGGTAGCCCCATATTCCTTGGGTTAAACCCGTCTCTCAACTGTCAGTCGATCTGAGAGTCTGCAGAGGGTATGCAGACCAGGTTTGGCTGTAAGCTTGAAATAGAAACTGAAAATATTGGCTCAAATTGGTTCTTCATTTATAAGAGGGGAAAAAAGCCCAACTGAGAAGTGCACCTAGGAGAC